AAAAAAAAAAAAAATAATCATCAAACTTTTACTTTTATACATTAAGGTTTAGGTTGAAATGGTTATTAAGGGTCATATTTATTTCATAACAAAGGTTGAAATGGTTATTAAGGGTCATATTTATTTCATAACATATGTAACAGAACTAGTACGTTGCATGTGCAACCTACAGGACAATAATGATAAATTATATTATAAATTAAAGCAACGAATGAATATTGATTAGTGTAAAAATAGTTTTAAATACTAATATTAATTTCATTTTTATTTTATATTTGTGACATGTGACATTTTAATATATGATTTGTATACTTATTGCACCTGTTGTAATATGCTTTCATTTTAGAATTCCTATTTAGAATTAAGGACCATAAAAGTTTAACATATGCAAACATTATTAATAAATAATACTCAAAAGAAAACTTCTATCTCTCTTCTCTTACTTATACCTTATTACAATATATTATTTAAATTTCTAAATAAATGATTGTAAAGTTAAAAATTTGTGGTAAATATATAAATCGACAACTAATTTAAAAAGAATGTATTGTATACTATTTTGTAGTTATAAAATTTATTAATTTTTAATTACGTACAAATTATCTTAATATTTTGTAATTTAATAAAGAATATTATAAATATTTTGAAATTTCTTTCTAGTTTGATAAATCATACTACAGTTCGACATCGGTTGATATACCATCATAATTTATAACAATATATATAACATAATTTTTTTCTAAGCTAACAATTTATATCGTTGTTTGATAGATTACTTGTTGATTTATCATTATAACTTATAACATTATACATTATAAATATTTTTCCTTTATAGGTCAATAATTTACATCTTTGACATATGATCCGCTGGTTTGTCATTATAGTTTGTAAAATATATATTATAAATATTTTAATTTTTCTTCCCAAATTTATAATTTACTATTACAGTTTGATAAATGACTCATTAACTTGTCATAATTTATAACAAAACATCTTACAAATGGCCCATTAATTTTTCATTTAATATTGTATATACTTGATCCTTGAAATAATTTTTACTTATATTTTTATATTTATAGAATTATTTTTTTTAACATGAATGCACAAGGTTGTTTTGGTTCGTAGCGCAATCAAGCAAGTCTCAAAGAGGTCAGTTCCCGCTCTTCTAAGCTCCGGTTAATGATTTGGACTGACGTTCCAGTTGTGGGTTTTGGCAGCAGTTAATGTAGAATCTGAAGCTAGAGATTAGAAAGCGAATCCGAGCTGACTGATCGAAAAGAAGACTCTCCTGTTACTGTCGACCAAGTGAAAGGAAAGGAGTTACGGCCTAAAGATCTACGCATTCCCCCTGCACAATGCCACTTCCTATCTTTTTGTCCAAGTCTCTTCTCTGGTGAACCCTTAAGGTCGAGGGACAGAGGCGTCAAAATATCTATAGACTAGGATTTTGATCAAAAAAAACATATTAATTACTATTTTAGACTATTTTATACTAAATTCATTTTATTATAAATACTTTTATATTTCATTTTGTGGATAACTTGAGACTAATTTCTTATTTTTACACCAATATTAAATAATAAATTTAGGTTCATTTTTTATATGAAATATTAACTTATAAACATATTAATACTTTAAAAATAATTAATTTTATTTGTACAGCTTACTCTGATTTAATTGCTAAGATCACACCAACCGCTACCAGTACCAGCCATCAGAACAATCGGACGCATACAATATGAGTGTCAAATCGAAGATGGTAAAATGAAAGTTAATTTAATATGATACATAAAAAATGGTAAGAAATAAAACTATAATTAAGCTTTTAAAAAGAATTGACATTAATATTTAGAAAAGAAAAAGAAAAAAAAAAGCGGACAACAATATGAAAACTAAATAGAAAAAAAATATTTTTAGGAAATTTTGTCATCTATGCGTTTCAAAAATTATTTT